TCCAGGAAAGGCACAAAGCTACATAGAGAGACCCTGTCTCGAAAAACCAAAAAAAAAAAAAAAAAAAAAAAGGAAGAAAGCTATGACCCAAATTAGAAACAAACAGGGAAACAGTATAAAAGACACAAATAAATTCAGAATATTGTAAAGGAATACTTTAAAAAACCTGTATTCCATTAAGTTAGGAAATCTTAAAGAAATGGATGAATTTCTTGATTCATCCAAATTACCAAAATTAAATCAAGAAGAGATCAACAACCTAAACAGATCTATAATAAACAAGGAGACTGAAACAGTAATAGCAAGCCTTCTGACTTAAAAAACTCTAGACCTAGATGGACTCACAGCAGAATTCTACCAGACTTTCAAAGATCTTTAACCAGTATTTTTAAAAATATTTTAAAAAGAGAAACAGAAGGAAACTCCTTTTAAGAAGCTGTAGCTAGAAGTTTTCCTGGTCTCACCTGGCACCAAGTTCCCACAGCCATTTATAAAATTCCTGTGTCCCCCTCTTGCAGCCTTGAGTCAGGGGGAAGGGCTTGGACTTACCTCTACTGAATGTGAAGGCCTTGCCTTCTTGTGGGTGGGAGTGGGGGGTAGGTTGGGAAGGGGAGGCTGGGGGGAGGACGGGAAGAGGGAAGAGGGGGATCTTTGATTGGTGTGTAAAATGAATGAAAATATTTATTTATTTATTTATTTTTAATGCTGAATGCTGTTTATTGAAGGAGGGAGGAGGTCTTAAATACAGGCTTACAGCACAATGGGAGAACCCCAGAGGGCAGAAGTTCGCTACCGATGTTTTACAATCTTGCATCTAAGCTGTTAATGCCCATTATGCAGGATACACAGACAAGGAACTTCCCTTAAGCAGTTAAATAAAATAAAATTCCTGTGTCCCGCCTGGTCCTGAAACCACTCAGACCCAAGTAAACACACAGAGGCTTCTATCAATTACAAATTGCATGGCCATGGCCTATGCTCAAGTTTCTTGCTAGCTAGCTCATATATCTTAAATTAACCCATTTCTATTCATCTATAAGTTGCCATGTGGCCATGACTTACCGGTCTGCTGGCATGTTGTTTCTTCGGTGGCAGCTGGCATCTGCTTTGCCTCTCCCTTTCTCTTCTTATCTAGCTGTTTGGATTTTCCACCTGCCTCTAAGCTGCCTTGCCACAGGCCAAACGGCTTTATTTATCAACCAATAAGAGCAACATATTTTCACAGTATACAGAAAGACATTCCCCCATTAGGGAGCCAGTATTTATATATTACAAAAACTAAGTAAAGGCACAACAAAAAAAAAACTACAGGTCAAATTCCCTGATGAATGCAGATTCAAAAATCATAAATAAAATATTTGCAAACAGAACACAGACATACATCAGAGAGATCACCCACCCTGACTGAGTTGATTTTATCCCCCAGATGAAGGTATGGTATAATATATGCTAGTCAATAAATGTGATAAACCACATAAGCGGACTTAAAAATAAAAATCACATTATCATTTCACTAGATGCAGAAAAAAGTCTTTGACAAACTCTAACATTTCTTCATAATAAAAGTCCTAGAGAGGGTAGGACTAGAGGGAATATACAAGAGTGTAATAAAAGCTATATGAGAAAGCCATAGCCAACATAATTCTAATAAGCAAGGAGATCAATACAGAAGGAGCGAGAGGCAGGAGGGTAAAATGATATTAAGGATGTCTGAAAAAGTCATAAAGAATTATATTATTATCTATTTACCTAACATTACATATAATACATAGAAATATATATGTATACATATACACATATACATATATATGTATAGGGTTTAGATGAAAAAAATCTCCCACCTGGGCATATAATGCACCCATAGAGCCATAGATTATCTAATAAAAACTTCAATGCTAAGCATAAGAAGCCCTCTTTTGAGTTGTTGGTCAGTGTTGTCCAAGAGACTCCCAAAACATACAGGCTATTGATCTTGGCCTTGGTTGCCTCCCAGGGGTTTAAGGTAAGTCCCTATTGCTGAAGAAGCCATATACTTTGGATATAGGACTCAGAAGATTCAAGCTGGTTCTGACCTGAAAGTCTCTTCCTCCTGCCTGCAAACCAGCTTTCATGGTACCAGAAGGTACCATGCAAGTTTCCAAGGGAGGGAAGTAATCAAGAGTCCTAGTCTGCTATGATATCTACGAACTACAATAATGACCATCATGGCATAAAAATCCTAAGGGTGCAGTAGTGGCAAGCATACCTTGGCAGTAACCAGTAGCTCCCTAATTAAACGTAAGACCTGCTCAACAAGAAGGAAATCATGATACTGGGAACCTACCCACCAACTCAGGGCTAGCGACGTCATGGATCATGAAGGAGAACCTACATACTTCCATTTTACTAAATCAGCGTAGTCCTGAACTACATCCTAAATAATTATTCTTATATCCATAGATTTGTATAGTTCTCAACCCTCATCAACAAAACATCTCTGTGCAGTAGACAGAGAGCATTACAGAAAAGCACAACTGACCAAAATGCAGAGCTGTGGAGTCCAGTCCCAATGGATACATCTCTAATACAATTCCTTCTCCTAAAGCTCAGGGAACTTTACAGAAGAGGTGGCAGAAGGACTCTAATAGAGAGGAAAAGGAAGTCTTCTGTGAGACTGTGTGTCTCTTAGAAATGTCAGAGCAGCTATGTCCATGAAATCTCATCAACAGAACTGCCTAAACAAAACCCGAACAAGGACAGCACGCTAACATGGAAGGAGGAAATTGCATGGGGCCTCAACCCCAGACAAAGAACTCTAGGCAACTAAGGAATGCTGAGAGTGGGAGAAACCATCTTCCCCAGGGAAGAAAACACCAATTGGCTATTCAATACCAAGTAGTCAGTCCTGAAATCATATACATACAAGTATCATTATGTAGAATGAGCTTTTTGTATTTATATATTTAGGAATACACACACACACACACACACACACACACACACACACACACATTTAAAGAAATAGAAGTCATGAACTTGAGAGAAAGCGAGGGGTTGTATGAGAAGAGTTGGAGGGAGGAATCGAAAAAGGGGAAATGATGGAATGATGTAATTTAATAAAAAAGAATTTCTACTTCATAAAAGATCTGGCCTGTCTAATTCTGTATTCCTATTACTTGGACCAGTGTCTCACACATATTATTCACTTAAAAAATGAGCATTATGGAAGTTTTTTATTAGCTACTTTTCTTGTCTATGTGATAAAATACCTGGATAAAACAACTTGAGGGAAGATAGATTTATTATAGATTATGGCTTAAAAGGATCTAGTCCATCAAAGAAGGGAAGGCATGGAGTATGAGTGCCACATGGCTGTGATGGTGGGTGGGCCAGGGGACAGAGAAAGAGGAATTCCACAGCGGCTTTCTCCTTTTCTCTTTTTATTCAGTCGGGGACACCAGCTCATAGGATTGTGTCATTCACATTCAGAACAGGTCTGTAAGAGCCCCCAGAATCATGCCCAAGGTGCACCTCATTAATGTGCCTTGCTCTGCCCCCTCCTCTTTTTTTCAAGATAAGAGTCTCATTATGTACCCCTGGCTGGCTTAGAACTTGTTCTGTAGACCATGCTAGCCTCAAATTCAGAGAGATTCACCTGCTTCTGCTTCCAAGTGCTGGGATTAAAGATGTGCACCACCACACTCTACTCTATGCTTTTCTTAATTCAATTAAGTTGACAATCAAAATTAAATATCACTATTTCCAAAAACCCACTGAAATAGGGTTAGGAGTACAATGAACCACATGTACCCAGATTCAACAAGTTCAATAATGTGCCATTTTTCTTCATTATGTTTCTTCCACTGGCTCTGTTACTTCATCATTTAAAGCAAATATTGAAAGAACCACAGACATTTTAGTATGTATGAATACTTTGAAAAGATAATAAGTACTATAACATTGCCTCTCTCACAAAATTGACAATAAGTCTTTAATGTTATCTAATCAAAATTTCCTCGTCTGTCATATTGCCTCTTAACAGATATCTGCTGAATAAACAAGTGGTGAAGAAATGAACCCGTGTCTGACAGCACCCTTTCCAAAGCATGATGCAGCAGAATTACCTCGGTTTTCAAACTTTCAAAGGTGGAGAACCATCTCTGCAAGGACTGTTCCATTCATCCAAATGAAATGCAAGAGTAAAACTCCACAAAGGGTATGTAACCACAGAAATGGTGATACATCTTCATTCATTTATTACCACGATGACATTTACAGCAAACTAATTCATACTAGCTAAGTATTGGAAACAACCCAAATGTGTATCAACCACTAAGGAGATAAACAAGCTGTTATATTCATACAATGTAATACTACTAAGCAATACAAAGAATGAAATACACAATAATATGAATGAATATCACAAATATTATGCTGACTAAAAGGGTGCATACTTGATTCCACTTATACAAAATTCTAGAGCAGGCAAAACTATCAGAATAATCATTGTATATATGTATGAAGATTGACTGGGTAGGGGTATCGCAGAACCTTCTTGAAGTGATGGTAATTTTTTTTAGCAGCTTTGATTATAGGTGTGTATATTTTTCAAAACATGTTGAACTGTACACTTAAGATTTTTGCATGTTTCATATGCAAATTTTACTCACAAAAGAATACATATTTAGGTGGCTATGTATTGATGTTTTTATTTGCATCAGAAATTTGTTTTAAATGCATCAGAAAAAAATAAGATGATCCAATGAAAAACAGACAGAGGGTTGGATATAAGGACAGGAATGTGATAAAGCAGTATAATAAAATGTTAGTGGTAGAACCCACCAGGTTATGACAGTTACTTACAATTCTCCCAACTTTGATAGGTGGTTGAATTTTTTTTCTAATGAAATGTGAGTTTGAGAAGACGGGAGGAAAAGGACCAGTGTAGCCTGACCACACAGATGACTCATTGCTCCTTACATTCCTGCTAGCTTCCTCTCTGATTGAGATGATGAACTCACCTCCACTCCCAGTTCTTGTGTACACTGGTAGCTTCTTGGCCATATCCACAAGCATCTGCTTCTGGACCTCAGGTCTCTCTTCATTTTCATAGCGCTCCTTGTCTGTATAGGACAAGTGGAACTGGAAGCACAATAGGCAAGCCTTTACTTTCTCAGGTCCCCAGAAAGGATTCAAAGCAACCATAACTACCTAAATGAAAATATTTATTATCTGCCCCTGAACTCCAAATACCACTTATTCATTTCTTTGGCTATGTATCTTATGAAATAGGTGGTGTTCTTTTTTAAATAATAAAAAACCCCATAATGCTTAGACAGATTAAGTATCTTGTTTACAGTTGTCCTCAATCAACTTAAAAATAGCAAAGCTGGTCCCAAATGCATTTCATGTTATTCCAAGACGTATACCCTTTCCACTCCATTATACCACGTATCATGTTATACACAGTTGTGTAGCTGTGTGGTGGTGGTGCACGCCTTTAATCCCAGCACTCGGGAGGCAGAGGCAGGCAGATCTCTGTGAGTTCAAGGCCAGCCTGGGCTACAGAGTAAGATCCAGGACAGGCTCCAAAGCTACACAGAAAAACCCTGTCTCAAAACAAACAAACAAACAAACAAACAAACAAACAAACAAACAAACACAGTTGTGTAATACATTGTTGCCAGGATCTCATCGATGAGTAGCCAGGTTTATTGAGTGCCAATTTCTTTTTCATAATGCTGATGACACTTTCAGAAAAGCTGGATGAAATGGCTTGTGATATTGCCTGCATAATTATAATTTTGCAAATTAGTAGAAATCTGGACATCCTCACTAGTTGATACACAATTTTTGCCAATTTAATCCTCCATTTTGCTAATCTTGCCTAAGATAGCACAATTATTTTTTCAAAGTAATATAGATTTGAAAACTTTTCTTTAGTCTACACAAAAGGGCAGACAGAGGTGAAAAAAAGGAAAGGATCTATGTGGGAATTTCTGGTTTAAACCTTATCATGGACATAAAATAGAAAATCACTTAGGAAAATTAAGGCATTTTCTTGATCTAAATTTTTCCCCTGTAAAATAAAGGAAATAAGACTTAGTTCAGAAGATTGGTGCAGAGTTGCTGGGTAATAACAAGTAACTCAAAGTATCAGTTCGAACTGCAATTATTAATTATTTAAGTCTACTTGATACTGCTAGTCACTTGAATTTTAACTTACCATGTTGTGCCTTATTGTGCTTTCACTCAGTACTTTCACAAGTACTAGTGATCATGAACATCTTTTCATGACTTCATTGGGCTGTTTGGGGTACTCTTGCAATACCTATTTGAGAATTTTGTCCACTAAAATAATTAGGTTTTCAGTCAGTTTCCTCTGAGGATGAGGTCTCTGGTAGGTTGGCCATGCTCCAGTGAAGGCCAAACATCCAAGAGTGTGAGAGTAACACAAACTATACTTGATGGGTTTAAAGAAAAAGGAGGGCATGAGTGAGTGGGTGGGTAGGTCAGGGACGATGGATCTGAGAGGAATGTGGGAAGTGGTAAATAGGATAAAAATTGTATGAAATTCTCAAACAACTTACAAAAATGAGAAAAAATAGGTTATTGTCTTTGTATGCTGGATTGTGGCAAACTTTTATATATTATAGATTCTACTCTTTTGTATTTTTTTAATGATATATACCTTTCTTTCAGTCCTTTTTATGGTACATTTTGAGAGACAGAAGATCTTGGTAGGAGTGTGGATTTATACATGCAGTTTGAAAAACTTATGTACTATCTAAAGTTAAATGTATGTCTGCACTATGACCTAGCAATTTCACTGCTAGTTACACAGCCAAGACAAAAAAATGTGTGGGGGTGAAACATGTACTTAAATATGCCAAAAAGACATATACAAGAGTACTCAGACTAGGTGCGCGCGCACACACGCACACGCACACACACACACACACACACACACACACACACACACACACACACTAAATAAATGTTTAAAAAAAGCAAATTAAAAATAAAACTATACCTATGGTGCATTTTATATCACCATGCCATTCTAATCAGAGTGAGAATTAAATGTCCTCCTGAGGATATGTGGAAAGGCATAGGGGCATTTGAGGCTGTCACAATAAATATGGTACATTTATAAGCATTTAATTCTTAACCCTGAGTTTTGCTATGTACTAGGTAGATACATCCTAATAAGAATGTCTTAAACATATAAATTGTTTACAATCAACCTGGTTGTTTTGTTTTTGTAAATACAATTATACTAACATGAAAAAATAAAATTTTTAGATTTTCATTTAAATTTTGATAATTCAAAGTAGTGCCTTGTGGCAGTGCTTTAATCTTTGAGGTATCCTTGTGATTGACTTTCTCATGGGACCCTGTGCTACTTGAAGGGCACAAGAAGAGTTGTTTCTATTTAGATGTGACAAACATATTGTGGTCACTCAGCAAATAGTTTAGAACACGGCGTCTGGAACAGATAGTATATTTCTGGCACTAACTAAGCCTTATTAAGGATTATGAAGCAGTGAGCTAATAAATGCATTTTGGACGAGAAAACTGATGACAGATTGGAATGTTGTGAGTATTAGAGAAATTAATATTGTGGCTATTAAGTAGACCCATAGAACTCTCCTTCCTTTTTCACAAATTGAAAATGATAAAGATGTAGTCATAAGCATTAGACATTTGCAGTACTTGATTAAAACCTAACATTATTTCATCAAGTTTAGGTCTACAAAATTCTTAACCACTTAGCCTTTCTACTGACCTAAAAGCTTTCATACACAACATGAAGGGGATACTTAGTTTTTATTAAGCTAAAATTAATATAACATGGTATTTTATTTCTAAGGTACATTTAATAGTGAACAAATTTAGTGATATTTAGCTCCCTCATACTGTGATGTAAACAAAACTACCTAGTTCCAAAACATTTCATTACCCCAAGAGGAAATCTTTTACTTATTAAGCTGTCATTCTTGATTCCTTTATCACTAGGCAGACTACAACCAGTATCTGCTGTATGGATCTCTATGAATTTGCCTTCAAAACAGTATGGCCTTTGGTGTTTTGTGTCTTTCATTTACCATATTGCAAGGTTCATCTATGTTGTGTCATATGTCAGTACTGCATTCCCATCTATGGCCAATGGTATTCTGTGTGTATATACAATATATATACAGACATACAGATATACAATGCAGACATACAATACTTCCCCCATCTATTTTTCCACTGATGAATATTTGGGTTGTTTCAATCTTTTGCCTATAGTGCATACTGCTGCAACAAAGATTTATAAATACATATTTATTTGAATGCTTGCTTTTTAACTATTTTGAGTATATACCCATGAATGGAACTTTTGGGTCACACAATAACTCCATATTTAACCTTATGAGGAAAAGCATAGCTGTTTTACATAGTATATCTACTGTTGTGGAATATTAGTTTAAGATGTGTTACATTCATTTATTCTGTGGAATATTTGTTTAATGATGCAAAGATGTGTTGCATTCTTTTATATTACTTTTGTTTAACTCTGTAAAGCTGTGTTTCTTTACCTACCTTAAAACACCTGACTTGTCTAATAAAGAGCTGAATGGCCAGTAGCTAGGCAGGAGAGGGATAGGTGGGGCTGCCAGGCAGAGAGAATAAATAGGAGGAGAAATCTTGGAAGAGAAGGATTGAGGAGCAAGGAAAGAAGGAGAGAGGAGGATGCCAGGGGCCAGACACAGAGATACACAGCCAGCCATGGAGTAAGAAGGAAAGAAAGATATATAGTATAAAGAAAGGTAAAAAGCCCAGAGGCAAAATGTAGTTAAAGAGAAATGAGATAATTTAAATTAGAAAAGCTGGCTAGAAACAAGCCAAGCTAAAGCTGGGCATTCCTAAGTAAGAATAAGTCTCTGTGTATTTATTTGGGAGCTGGGTAGTAGGCCCCCAAAGAGAAAAAAAAAACCCAACTACAATCTACAATTTTATATTCCTAGTCAAATTTGGAAGAATTGTGAATTGTTTGCATTCTCACAAATATATGCTATTTTTCATTCATTCATTTGTTTATTCACTTAATGGTTGCCTTCTTGGTGGTTTTGCTGTCTAGATTTGTATCTCCTTAGATTAGTAGTGGTGCTCATGAACTTTTCATGCCTCTAACAGAAAACTGTATGTATTCTTTGGAGAAGAAATATCTATTTAAGACCTTTCTGTATTTTACAATTGGGTTATCTTTAGTTGCTGAATTATGAGAATTCTTTATGTATTATGAGCACTGGACACAACAGATGTATGAAAATACTTTCTTTTATGCTTTGGGTGGTCTTCTTACTGTTTATTTCCCTTGTAAATTTTGTTTTCTTTTCTTTCTTTCTTTTTGAAGTTTGGCTTTCTACTTTTCTCAAACGCATCAAAATAGATTATTTGAGACATTTATTCCTTTAAATGTGTTTGCAACTATAAATTTTTCTAAGAGCACTGCTTATTACACCCTATAATTTTTATTATGCCATGTCTCATTTTCATTCCTATCAAAGTCTTTTTAATTTTTCCTGTGATTTCTTACTTAATCCATTGGTTCAGAGTATGCTTAATGGCCAAGGTACAGAGAATAAGAAACTGCAGAATTCTCAGCCCTAAATGGGATACCTATATTACACCCTCTTCTCCCAAGGCTCAGGGATCACTGAAGAAGAGAAGGCAGAGAGATTGTAAGAGCCAGTGCTAGTAGATGTACACATTAAAGCAGTATTTTTCACACACAAGAGGTCACTGCACATAGGAACTCACAGCTCTTGTAGCATACGCAAGACTATGCAGTCTCAAGCCAGACAAAATCCCAGCTTGGAGAGGGGAGTTGGGCAAAAAGGAGATATTGGCAATTGATAGCTTCTGAGAGAGGGAAAAATCAGCTTTCTTTAAGGATGTGGCCCCTGGTAGGTCATCCACCTTCTAGTGGATGCCCAAACACTAAAGAGTATTACATGGGTAGCACAAATGGACCCCATGTTTTTTTTCTAAGTATGAGAAAGTATGAGGACACAAAGTTGGGTGGGTAGTGAAGGGGATTCGATTTGGAAGGAGTTGGGGTGGGAGTAAATACAATCAAAATGCAGTATATAGAGTATTCCAAGAATTAATAAATGAGAGTACTTAATTTCCCCACATTTGTGAATTTCTAGCTTTATCCCACTGGACTTAGAGAAAATACTTTGTATGGTTCAATGTTTGAAATGTATTAACTTCTTTGATGGCCTAATAATGGATTGTCTATACTGGAAAGTATTCTATATGCAATTTGGAAGAATGTATATTCTGCTATTTGGGGGTAGATTGCTTTATATATGTCCTTTCAGATCCTTCAACCTTCTGTATACTTACTCTATGCACTACTGAAAATGTAGAACTGATGTCTTTTTAATTATTATTGCAGAACAGAATTTTCCTAGGTTTTGCTTCTATTTTTCAGGTTCATTTTAAAAATAACTTTAACATATTGATGAACTGACCCTTTTTTGTGGTGCTCAAGATCGAATTCAACAACCCGCTTGTCAAATGCTCTACCACAGACCCATATTTAGTACATTGACCCTTTTATCAATATATATTGTATTTCTTCTTCTTTTATGTTTGACTTAACTCTCTTAAAAATATTTGTGCTATGATGGATCACAGAGCCTCACACATGCACTGTATCTGAGCCACAACCCCAGTCCTTCTCTCTTTCCTTCTTCCCCACCTTTCTTCCCTATGAAGTCAAATGACAATCATTTATTGCCAACCTATTTATGTCTTTTTTACTAATGTTAACTCTATTATAGACAGATTAAACATATATATGATTTTCATGTAGTTTGTTAACCTCAGGCTTTTATAATATAATAACAATATTTCTTGAAATGGTCTCATTATGTAACTCTAGTTGTGGAACCCTCTCTGTAGAGCACGCTGGACTCAAGGTCACAGAGAGCTGCCTACCTCTGCCTTTAGAGTGCTGGGATTAAAGGTGTGTGCCACTGCACCTTGTCCCATAATATTTCAAGTGTTATTTATTTTATTATTGTTTGAGATAAAGTCTCACTCTCTAGCCCAGGCTGGCCTCAAATTTGTGACAACCCTCCTGACTCAGCCTCTAGAATTCTGGGATTACATTAGGAGCAAGTGTGTCCAGAAATCTCAGCCTTTTAAGGGGATAAATTGATGCATTTATATTTTAAGCATTCAGTCAGTAGAAAAGATACTTGCCATTTTGCTCATTATTTTCTTTCTGTATTACTATCTTTCTCTGTGCTTTAAACTTTTTTTGTAATATTTTGTCCATGAAGGAGACAATTTAGAATAGTATTTTTTTCCTGTGTTAATAGTTTTGGTAAGATCTCTCCCATTGTTTCTTTCTACTTCCAAATCTAATTTGTTTTAAAGCGGTTATAGACAATAAATGCCTGAGATGATCACTTTTCTGACTCTTTCAAATAGTGCAAGAAACACTTCAAGAGAACACAGCTAAAAATTGTTGGATGAACTATTGAATTTTTCTTAGATTTGCCTTCTAGTTTCACAGAATTGAACTAGATGAGGTCTCAGAATCAATGCGGCTCCTTGTTTTAATCAGATCTCCACTGCAGACACTGGTTTCCTAGTCTTAAGGATCCCCAAGGCTGGTGAATTCACAAACTCCTTCAACAGCCAATTCTACCCTCCATTCCCTGGAGTGAAGCCTTTCCAGTTTATTCTTAGCTGGGCTAGGTAGTGTGCCACTACAGTCCCGGCTATTCAGGAGAGGTGAGGGAGGATCACTGGAGGTTAGGAGTTCAAGGCCAGCTTGGGCAACACAGTGAGAGCTTGTTTGAAAAAAAAAAAAAAAAACAAAAAACAAAGTCAAAACAGCCTGAGTTTCTTTTGAATGGGAAGGTTATTTGTTTCTCCTTTTGTCCTCTTCTTATTTTGTTGGTATCTTTAGATTCTTTTGTTCTTAATTTTGTGAAGCAACAAATATTCTTACCTTCTGGTTTGGCTGCTGTGGGAGTGTAAAGATAGACTTCCAGTAGGTCCATGCAAAGAACACAAAAATGGCATGATAGAGTATGAGGTAGATAACTGAAATTAAAAAAAAATTAAACTTTTAATCCATTTCTCAGAGTTCAAAAGAACAAAACTAAGTGACAAGTGTCTATCTTTTTCTCCCGTCACTATGTACTCTCTAGTATTACTATGAAATGTTGATTGCCACTATCTTCCCATGCAGAACACCAAATTTTGAACCAGAGACTTTCTGGAAATCATATCCTTTTAAAGCTGTCATGGGATTCTTCGAGTAAAGAGAGGAACTGCCCTTTATGACAATATATGAGAAACTATTTTAGCCAGTTGTCATTATCCCTGTCACCATGGGTGTTAAATGCTAGGATACAATTTGCACTTCATTAGAGTTTACAAAATGCTTTTTCAGAAGAATTAATTAAGCCTCTGTGTGTGTGTGTGTATGTGTGTGTGTGTGTGTGTGTGTGCGCACTATAACACACATGTGGCATTCAGAGGATAACTTGTGAGAGTCAGTCCTCTCCTCCTACCACATGGGTTCCAGGGCTAGAATGCAAGTCATCAGGCTTGGCTGCAAAGCACCTTTACCTACTGAGCCATCTGGCCAGCCCAAAACATATTTTTATATATGTCACCCCATTTTATTTTCTCAGTAACTTTGTTGAGAAAGATAATGGCATAAGGCAGGTAATTATCTGTCAAAGATAAATAGTTCATTAATCAAGGTCACACAGTCTGTAATGTAGTCCAGCATTAAATATAGGACTTCTGACTCTAAATCCAAAGTTCTTTTCAGTGGCTCCATTGACTACACAGTTTGGAAGCATAAGCTGTACCTCTGAGACAGATGTACACATGACTCTCCACTGCCTGTCTTCTCATAGTTTTGCCTTTTCTACAGCTCAGGGTTGGTATTCTCCACAGAGCTGGTTACAAGGTGGAATGTCACTTTAGTGCTTCATTGCAAGTCCTTGAACGTCATGGTCTTATTTCAATCCATTACAAAGACTCAAGAGAATGATGTAATTCAAGACCAAGTTAACAAGGTTCAGCCTCACATACATCTACGCTTTCAGTCCCAGCCCCTTAATACAAGACCGTTTAGGTGTGAGATTATAAAATCTCATTTTAAAATTCAAGAAACACAGAGTAAAAGACAAATGTGTACTCCACACGTACATCACACTTCTTAACTGTTCATGTCAAGGATGTGAAACATTCTAGATTTTCTCACATTTAAATGTTTATATAAATACATGCACACAACAAACATAACATCTCTATAACTTCTAAAATTTTAACTGTCTTTCTTGTGAAAAGTTAAATATTCATGTGGTTCAAAATTTGAGGTAAACATATAGTGAAATCTTTGTCTTTTTCAGTTACATTCTCTGTAAACAACCAATGTTATAAGCCATGACTTCAGATTTTATGTTTCTAAAATAACCCAGTATACTTTGCCACATACAGAGAAGTAGTCTGTACAGTGTTTTGTAACATATTTCTTTATTGCTTACTTTATTTGGAGATTATTTCACTTTATAAAACTTGAAAAGAGTGAACTTTCTCATTTTCTTAATAAGTTTCAGTGGAGTGATCAGCCCTAAATGTGACATCTATATCATATACCCCTTCCTGTCAAGGCTAAGGGACTGTCATGGAGGGGGAGGGGCATGCAAAAACATTTTAAGAGCAAGAGGTTGGGGGGGGTACCCTACCCCCTAGCTGAGGGGCTACTGACAGTTGGTGGCTGCTGAGAGAGCAGAAGTCAGTTTTCTTCAGTAACATGGTCCCTGGTAGACCTGTTCATGTTCCAATTGGTGGCCCTACACCCATGAGCACACAGGTAAAGAGTATATGAACAGGGAAGAAAAAATTGGAGGGGAGGGAGTAGGAGGCAGATTTTATCAAAACACATTGTATACATTATAAAATTCTCAAACAATAAAAAGTTGAATGGGATTCTGTTGTGAAGATATAATGTATTGAATCAGACTGTGTTTATTATAAATTTGAATTTTGTTTTCTCTTGCTAATACAAATAGTGATTCCATTAATATTTGATACACATGTTATCAGCACATGTATAAAGAACATCTGTAGAATCAATTGGGTGGTGGTGGCACACACCTTTAATCCAAGTACATGGGAGGCAGACGCAGGTGGATCTCTGAGTTTGAGGCTAGCCTGGTCTATAGAGTGAGTTGCAGGGCAGCCAGGGAGACAGAGAAACCCTGTCTCAAAAAACAAAAACAAAACAAAAAAATCTGTAGAATCAATTTCCTCAATTGGAACTGTCAGGTCAAAAGGTATGCCTTTTTCTGATTGTTTCTTTTATTTCTGATATTATAATTAATGTCCCCTTTCACCTTTCTCCCGCCAAACCATATGCCCTTCCTTGCTCTCTTTCAAATTCATGGCCCCCTTTTCATTAATTGTTGTTAATTCCTGACTATAACTGTTCAGTGTGTAGAATGTCACTTGTATGCATGCTCTCAGGGCTGACCATTTGGTACTGGGTGACCAACTGATGTGCTCTTCCATGGAGAAGACCATTCTCCTGATCTCAGGATCCCTTAGCTGCCTGCAGTTCTTCGTGTAGGCTTGAGGCCTCCTGGACTTTCCCCTGTCCACTTTGGCATGTCAGTTGTTGTCCTTGTTCAGCTCATTTTTAAAGAGTCATGTCAGTGAGGCATTATGGGTATAGCTTCTGTGATATTACCAGGAGACACAATCTCATATTAAACTCCCTGGTCCTCTGGCTCTTATAATCTTTCTGCCCCTTCATCTGCAATGTTCCCCGAGCCTTAGGTACAGGAGCTGTTTTGTACATCTTCAAACTGGGCTCCACAGATATTGTCAAATTTCCATTAATAAAACTTACAATTTTATTTACATTCTTTTTTGTTTGTTTGTTTGTTTTTGTTTTTTTCAAGACAGGGTTTCTCTGTAGCTTTGCGCCTTTCCTGGATCTCGCTCTGTAGACCAGGCTGGCCTTGAACTCACAAAGATCTGTTTGGCTCTGCCTACCTAGTGCTGAGATTAAAGATGTGTGCCACCACCACCCGGCTTATTTACATTTTTATCATTAATAAATGAGAGTGCTTCTCTCTCACAGTACAGCTTTTGTAAAGAATTCTCATAATATTTTTATCTTTCTCAAGACTTTAAAATATTCTCTTAATATGTTATTCTTTGTCATTATGATTTTGTTCCTATCTTAGGGAGAAGGGATGCATTCATTCAAGTTAATTCAGAATGGAATGGGAGTATGGACTCTGGTTTTAAAGGCATCAGAATAAGATAATTTTATGTTTACATTGTCACCATGCATTTCAATGGTAATGCGATTCAATTAGTTTGGTTACATGAATGGATGCAAGTATCCTAAGGTATTTATCGTATCTTTTATTCCAAATGATTGAGATGGAAAATGTGGTACTTTAACTTGGCCCAAGTTCTATTACACATTAATACTTGGCTGAGCTATGGAATTGGAAACAGCTGCATCTCATTCCTCTATCCAATGATTTATATGGTGTGGATTTGTTTTGATAGATATAAAATGAGAGATCATGAGGCTAAATATCAAAGTCACAGTTATTCAGTAGATTGATAAAGTAGGCCATATTCTATAGATTTGGTAACAGTTTCACAGTTTGGAGGAGACTAGAGCAACCGTCCAGCTCAGCCTTCTCAATCTGATATAACTGAGGTCCAGAGAAGGTAAGTGATTACCCATGGAGGGTGCGGAAGCAATGGAATCAGAATCAGGGTGTACTCGTTTCCAGTCCTGAGCCCCTTTCCTTAGGGCAGCAAACAGCAAATTGCAGTGTGCAGGGTCGTTGAGATGGCTCAGTGGGTAAAGGCATCTATCAAGGCTAAGGTCTTGAACTGGATCCCTAGGACCCAGGTGGTAGAAGAGAACCAACTCCTACAGGCTATCTCCTAATATCCACATTCTCAGTGTGGCACATGTGTGTGAACACACACACACACACACACACACACACACACACACACACACACACTCACTACATTAAAAAATCGAACAAAAATGCACTGTATAGCCTTTCCTAAAGACTGAATCAGTATCTGACTTTTAGAGCCCAAGGATTTAGCAACCCACCCTTAGGTCATTCTGAAGAACAGAAGAACAGTGCCTTTAGGCCATCTGGTTGTCCAGCCTACCATTTCAAGGAGGAAGATTGCTCCAACATTCCTGGCAGACAAGAACTTTATCTCTGCCAGTGCTTTGAAGTGACTCTTCTTGAAATGCAGAGAGAACTCATGAGTTTCATGTTTGTGCATTCCTCTGTATAGATAATGCCCCTAAGCTTTGCTCTCAAATATGTGGCCATCTAGTTCTTCCTGCATTAAAAACATGCAGCATATTCCTCCCCTGTGCCCCTTTCTCCTTGGATATTCCTTGAGACAAGTTCTCACATTGTAGTTCAAGCTGGCCTGAAACTCACTATGTAGCCAAGAGTGGTCTTGGCAATTTTCCCGTCTCACAAGTGTTGGAATTACAGACACAAGTCACCACACCTGGTAGGCATACTTTTGTATAATTAATTTTTGTGTCTAGAATAACCATCCTTGTAAACCACAGGGACACTGAATCTTTTTAAAATATGATGCTCCAGTGAGGTTTCAAATCACTAGAGAAATCAAATAGCTTATGAACTGTAACCCTGAGCTGTCACTACTCACTGACATTGAAATGAAATGGAAAAACATCTTTTTTTTTTTAATCTTCAGAAAACAGGCACAGTGGAGCCCTTCGCTTATCTGGCAGTGATTAGTTGGGGAGCATCAGAAGCTACTGGAGTTAGAGTTGCAACATGAAAACCCCAAATCTTTCAAGTGCCTTTTTTTCTTTCCTTTCACCAGATGCAGAGGTTTGCAAGATGACCAGAACATGGCCAAATGCCAAAGAAAAACATTCCTCTAAGCAGGCAGTTGTTCTGCATTTCATCACTGGGTTGTAATGTGGGAAGCCCATTATGGAATAGCTTCTGAAATGAGAATGACTACTTAAGTACTTTCCCTAAAAT